CTCCAAGAGCGTCATAGTCGAGTCTTTCAGTCTCTGAAATCCACGCTAACGCGTAATCAGAGTCGAAGCTGAAAGCGTTCCTGACCCTCTCCTTTACCTCGGAAATCCATTCCCGAAGCTTATCAGCTGTAGGTTCAGGAGGCAACGTGATAGTGTTGCACTTGTGATGGTATCGATCCTTGTCAGCAACAGTCGAAATCAGGGCCCCTATCGGGGTACACGACGTGATCCTGCAGCTCTCACACAGCCTAGCCGGAAACGGACAGCACACATCGCAAGCCCTCATCCCGAACCAACGCACGGGACAAGAGGAGGGCCGGTAATGGGGACCCTGACGCCACACTTAGTGCACTTGTCTCGCCCATCGTCTCCTCTGATTGCTTCAGGAAGAAGACCGCCATCCCCTGGCCCACCGGCACCATTAACACTGTAGCCGTGGCATGGACCCGCTCCAGGATTACTGGCATGCCCGATGCTTGCAGGGTACCCTGGAGCAACGTTGGGCTGACTAACGCCAGCCGATTGTAGACACCACCTCCATAGGCTGGACCATAGAAACTCGAACCACATTGATTGTTCTCAGCTCCATGAGAGTGCCATAGAACGCGGGCGCTCCACCAGGGTATCCCCCGGTAGGAGCCCCACCACTCGGGCCGCCAGGTCCAGCGGGACCTTGACCCCCGCCTGGATGTCCAGGTCCAGGATGTCCAGGTTCTGGAGGTGGAAATGGAGCAGGTCCATGACCACCACCTCCGCCTTGGCCGGATGGTCCGCCTTGCCCACCTCCTTTCCCGGGAGGAGGAGGAGGGGGCGGTCCAGCGTCAGCCCGTTCACGCCGTGTATTGCATCGCGCACATCGCTCAAGGTCCTCACATACTGAATTCCCGCAATCCGAGCAGAGATACATTGAGACCTCCTGGGCATTTTTGCAACATGCCCAACACTTAATCTTCAGGAAGTGACAATTGCAACAATCTCCATCATCAGCGTCGGGGTGCCTACGATCATTTGGATTGTCGAGAGCACAGATCTTCGGCGCACTTGGGCCGCCGGTGCCTGGCGTACCTCTTGCAGCCGGTGCCGATCGGATGGGGTCCCAGGGGTCCTCCAGCTATCACCGGGACTCTGGAGCTCTGCTCCCAGGAGTCCTCCAGCTATCGCCGGGACTCTGGGTGTCGGCATGGGCCCTGCTTACCCTACCACCTCCAGGATTACGGTTAGGGTTCGGAGAGACGCTCCCGCTATCGCGGACCGGCCTGTCTGGGTTTGGAGAAATGCTCCCGCTATCGCGGATCGTCCTTTCCCCCCTCGATTGCCGATTCCGGACCTCAGATCCCCTATCGGGGACGGCAGCAGGCCTCGGGCTCCTGTTTCTACCCACATCCCTGTTTGGGGAAACTCAAACGTCCCCCCTTGCACGCGCGCGGGGGCCATCCCTTGCGCGCCCTGGCGGGGAGTGTGACCTGTCAGGCATTCCCCGGGCTCTTCTACTTCTGCTGTCAGCCCTTTCCCATGAATGGGATGCCTGTCTGCACGAGAAGGATCGACCCTATCGGGCACAGTTGGCAGAGCATGGTCAGTCAAGCCAACACCCCCACCCGTCCTTGTCGGAAGGCCAGTACCCCTACCATTTCCTTCTCCAGGAGTGGGCGTCGGTGATCTGATCCTATGACCCTGTCCAGCAAAGGCGTTGTACCCAATATTCCGCCTCTCTCTGGGTCCTTGAGGGCTCTGCTGGTTCTGCTGGACACCCTGAATTATGTCAGCAGCCTCATCGACATGACCTTCAATATCAGAAAGCTGAGCCATGATTCTGTTGTTCATTCCATTCAGAGTACGCATGTTACTCTCGACTGTGGTAATTCTCCGCATTGCGCCTTCCAGCGTGCTTCGAAATGAATCGAGTTCACGCCTAACGGCGGACCGTGCTTGATCACTACTCGCTGGGAGATTACGAATCTGCCTTCTGATATCATCAAGAACTTGATTCAGAATCCCCGATCTCGCCTCGTACTGCTCAACATGGGACTTCACGGTCTCAAACCTCGCAATGACATCGTCATGATCCCGACGTTGACGTTGAACTCCGCGAGATAGATCCTGGATCTTCCGATGGACCTCGTCAATTGCTTCATGCCAGTCTTGCGGGGAATCAGGCCCTGAGGGTCTATCGACCGCCTGGGAACCCCTTCCGCTTTGCAGCCTCGATATTCGCTCAGCAAGACTAACTTGTTCTTCATTGATACCACCAATAGATTCGGAGACCCACTTTGCAAACCTCTCGCGTTCAATAAGGATCTTCTCGAGCTTCAGGCTTAGTTCCCTGAAATTCGCGTTCGCCCCACTGCTGGCAGCCCTATCGGGCAATTTCGCTGCAAGGTCACCTGTCGGCGTCCTCATCCCAACGGTTTTCTCTACCGAGAACATCCGCCCCTCTAGCTTCTCCAAATCCTTAAGCATCTCATCCTCGGAAGCAGCATGGCTCCTGCGGATGGCCTGATGGTTCTCCTGAATGACCTGACGAAGCTGGCTAGTTGCGATTTCATTGTCCTTAACGGATTCATGAACTTCGTTGGAAAGCAAGTTGATCCTCTGATCCACAATCTCAGCCTGTTCATCGATGGCTTGCCTCACAATAGCCCTGCTGTCAGGGACAATCTCGGGAAACCGCTGAACTATCATTCGCATCCTACCGGCATCAGATTGAGTCGCAATCTCAGTGGCCAAACGACTGACCTTGTCCTTCGTCTGCTGATTTAACCTGATTTGGTCAGCAAAGATATGGAACGCTTTCGCGACTGAACCAGACACCTCACCCCTCTCGAGCATCTCCTGGATGTGCAGATCAAACACCTCCTTTGCCCTAGCGTCACCTGACTCACCGGAGGAATGGGACCTGTGGGCTGGAGGAGTCGATATCTCGATCCTCTCAGGAGCCCCACTAGCTCTAGCATATCTTCTGGAATCGCCTGCAGGACTATCATCAATCCTGGATGGCCTACTCGGGGTAGATCCCCTTCTCCGGCTATCGCCAGGTCGGGGATCAATATTGGATGCACGAGACTCAGGAGTAGAGTGGATATGAACATCAGCAGGATCGAACATTTCCTCATCCTGCTGAGTTGAACCTAACGGTGAAGGGCTAGCCCTCCTCGCCTTCGACCTATCGGTCTCAATGGCCAGGAATGACGGCCTCTTTGCAGAAGCACTACGTTCCCTGGCGGTCGATCCCCATTGAGGTGTGAACTCGTTGCTAGACCTTAGCGTTTCGAGGTCACTGTGATCTCGCCCTAACGGGCTAGCGATCGACGGACGATCCTCGATTCCGAGTGCATCGGCGAGCCGACCATCTCTTGCACCCGTCCCAACGACATCGGCAGCCCGTTCAGTGATCCTCGGCGAACCGAAGTTCTCGTCTCTCTGACGCAACGGACCTCCAAATGCAATGTTGGGAAAAGGGGGAACATTCGGGGTATTATCAACCACCGGAGGACCTATCGGTCCCTCCCGGTCATGGATGGCCTCCAATCCCCGAAGAACTTCCCGGCTATCCCTGTCTCTCTCTCTCTCTCGCTCCGGGCGTCCCTGTCAACACGAAGGTCCCTAGCGGCTCCACGAGAGAGGCTCCTGGGCCTTGCAGCAGCACGGCTCCTTGCATTTCGGCGTGACTGGTCCTCCTCCTCATCCGCAAAATTGTAATCTTCACCATTGTCAAACTCAAACTTGGCAGCCACAGGGTTGGGCCTATCGGCATCAGACTCCTGCTTTGCGCTACCACCCCAGCCTGCGGTTGATCTCAACAGATCATCGTATCCGAAGCCTGTGAATTTCCTCTCCTCATGCTCATCAAACTGACCTGGATTTTGAGAACTGGTTGACCGACCCGAGATATCTCTCGGAGCCAGAACCATGGTTCCTGGTCCTCGCGGCCTGTCCCCGAGCTCATCCGAGACCTGCGATTCACCTGGAACAAGAGATCTTGGCGGTCGGGTCGGCATGGCCTCCGGGTCGTCCGAATGGGGGCGGGCCATGTTCATCGCCATGCTGATGAAGTCGAACTGTCCGTGCCTGAGACCTGATTCAGAGCCGCTCCTATCGGGGCGAGCTCTTTGCGCTTGCTCATCATCAGTGGCCTGACGGAAAATGCGATCGTCTCCATCATCGGTGTACCTGCCACGGCTTCTGGGTGTGTCCCTACAGGGATCTTCACCCCTGCGGTCCTGACCTGTCGAACCTGCTTCGAAATCCTCGTAGTCGAAGTCCGGTAGGTCCTCACCTGAGCAAAGGCCGCCTAGGATGGCCTCCTCATCCACGACGCTCCTCCGAGATCGTGGGGTCGACGTCATTGAACTTGTAGTTGATAGTCTCAAGCGCGTAGGAAAGTCCTACGGCTGATAACCTGTGATTCGGGCACGAGCCTGTGCCCAGGCAATGGGTAAGTTGGGGTAAACAAGCCACAAAAGAAAGGTTCCCCAAAAGCAAACCAATCCCCGGTCCCAAAGATCAGGGTTTCCCACACACCAGAGAACAACAACCAAAAGGGAAACAAACCAAAAGAGAAAAGGGTTAACCCGCAACCTTGGTCGACAACAGGCCGCACGACTGGTCCCTACCAACCTGGCGGCGGCCCGAGGTCTCTTTCTCCCCCGAGATGCCGTCGGTCGACGCAGGGGTTCGGCGACGCCCATTCGAGGCGCGACGGAACCCGTCAAACTTGAGCCAAACACCACCGGTCAGTCACTATCGCGACATCCCTGGTGATGGTTTAAGACATGGCTAATCACAATATATAATACAAATACAGCCAGGTGGTAGAACCTACTAAAGTGGCGGCCAATGGGCCATTTGGGGCGCTGTTCAAATCTGCACTAGGTTGATTGGCTATAGCGCTGTTTCCCTACACTTTCCTTTCGGGTTCCCCTGAAAACCATCCAAGGGCTTCCATATTTGGAAAAGCCACCTGAGTCACGGTCAAAATATCATGCCTGTGGCTGCGGCTCCTAGTGAAGATAGGGAATCTCGGGATCTTGACCCAACCTCGATGGGTTAATCTCCAAGGGGCCCGTACAAAAAGTCTAGTGCTACCGTCCCCATTCTTTCCAGGGATTTCTAGAAAACTTCTGGAAACCCAGGGAAACGGCCGGTTTTTCGAAAAGAACGATGGTTGGAAAGAATGGACAGGGAATCAACCCTTAGCAAAAGGTGGTGGTCCTTCTGTTGCTCCCAAGCCTACAGCCGGGCTCGGGTTCGGCGAGCGTGCCGACAATTTGAGAAACTCAACAATGAGGGGCTCTGACAACATGTTGGCTTCCTAGTGTCTATCAAGGTCGGTGTTTTACAAACCCAACAACACAAAAGAACGCACCTTGGGGAGGACCCCACGCAAAAATTGGCCCAGATGGGGTCCCGAAAAAATGGGAGACCCGAACAACCGGCAACAAGCCATCCCCTTCCCATGCGAAATCCGGGGAAGAATATTTAAACAAAACTGCAAAAACATTGCCCTCCAAAACCGAACATCCCGAGTCCCCTTCCCAGCGACCGGCCTGCGCTTCTCGCACCGCGTACTTGGTGGTGCGATCCTGGCCGAGACAAAACAAAGCAAACAAGCAAGCAAACAAACGAAGAAACAAACAAAACAAAAAACAAAAACAAACAAACAAACAAACAAACAAGTTGAACAACGGCACATGCCCCTTACCCTTGACATTGCGCCTCAAAAGGCTTGGCAAAATCTCCCAAAACTGGGAGCTGGACCCCTCAGCACCGCCAGCACCACCAGCAGCACATGTTTTTTCTCTGGCTGGGCAAGAACAGAAATAAGAGGCCCTGTCCGGATTCCTGGTGAATTCTGCTGAGGCGTCCAGGAACCCAAAAGCCGGGGGCCCGGTTCCAGCCTTGGGCTGGAGCTTCATGGCGTAGTGCTTCTGCGTGCGCTTGTCCAAGACCTTCAGCACCTTTCCGAATCCTCGTTCCAAAACGTCTGGGTCGGGGGCAGCAAGACTTGGGGGTGGGAGAAGGTGGGTGGATAGGTTTGGTGGGGCTGATTGATTACAGCTCTGGGTCTAGGGAGAAGGTGTCAGAAGGTGGGTGTTAACATAGGTTTGGGGATGCTTGGGGTCTGGTGGATTGCAGCGGGTCTGGGGAGATGGGTTTAGGATAGGTAGTTTGGTGGGGCTGGTGGATGGGTGGGTTGCTTTAGGGAGAGCTTCGAGAGACGGCACGGAACATCTGACTCGAAAGATACGGGAAGATATCCCGGCTTCAAGGCTTGACAGTTTCTACCCAAGCCATGGGCAGCGGGGAAAGAGACAAAAGCACATACGCCTCCAAATGGGGAAACTACACATTGGGCTGACATCAATCAAAGCCACTTCGAAGACAAGACACGGACGATCTTCAACGCCCCACCTGGGAATCCCCAAAGTCCACAGAGATCCCGGGCTATCCCCAACGCTCCCAAGCTCGCCCGCTCGCATCGGCGCGAGTCCTCCGGAGCCAAGAGCCTTGACCTGAGCAAGGCATGCCATGATCTTGCCGCTTGAAACAAAAGCAGACCTCCGTGTGCGCAAGCAAAGGGGATGACAAGCAAAAAAAAAAAACATCTACTCTCGCCCATCTTTTACCCCTGAAAAAGCAGAGCAAAAAGTGGCGTAAGTCAGTGGTAGCCGGGATGCACTGGGCCCTTTACTCCCTGACTTTGGATGTCCGGTTCCCGATATCCCGCGAAAGCCCAATGGAACCCTCCCAAACATGGAACTTGAAAATGGCTCAAGCGCTTGGACCAGTGTTCTGTACAAGGGATCCTCGTGGTTGCATGGTTGCTCGTCCAAGCAGAAACTGGGTTGTGAGATAGCTTAAAGCAAAGTCATGGGCATCAGCAGTAGAGAATAATGTGTGTAATTGTTCAGCCAACTATGCAGAGGAACATGGTGAAAACTTAGGGATGCATCTGGTGGCGTAAACGCAAATTGGGTGAATTAGAAGAATTCCCCAACCTATGTTGGGTGTGTTGTTGTTGATAAGAGAACCCTATTTGGGAGTGGTTTAAAGGGACTCCAAACGAAAACCATCTTTGGGGACACCCAAAGCAAAAACACGAAGTGGCAAACCCGGCCCGATGCGCATTTTCACTTTTGGAGTGTGACGGTCGCCACACTCGGAACCCTTCTTGGTTGAATCATCCGCTTTTCTCGCCCGAATAGCTGTGCCTATTTCACGCCCGGGGCTTACCTCAGGTCCTCATTGCATCCACGCTGCCGGCTTCAGGGACATGATGTGGAACCCGTCCTCCAGAGTTGGCTCGCAACATGAGAAAAACTGGACTGGTGCATGACTCCGCGAAAAATCACCCCACTATTGGCCTAAAAGGGAAATGTACGGACTCTTGGGTCGAAAAAGGGGATACCCACCAAACTGCCGGTTTTCTTCGCCTGGTTCTCCCCTTGTTCACTTTCAAGCCTCAAAACAAAGGGTACCAGGGTTCCATTTCGGGTACCCATGTTTGACCCACAGCCGCACAAGCCAGATTGTTTCCCACCAGCCGGTTCGGGAGAACTTGCTCACCCATGAAGGCCTCCGGGGCTTTTTTCGGTTGGCCAATGCTAGAATCGGCCCGAGCCTCAACAAGAAACGCCCAACTGGCAAATGGCCATAGGTCAAAATCCAAATCATCCCCCAGTGAACATCCCAATCCCCACTAAAATAGGCTACGTAAAATGGGTGGTGAACCTACCCCAAAATGGTACCAAAACGGTTTTGACGACCACAGCCAAATGAAGCATAGGACCAGTCTCCGACCCCGGACGGATTCGACCCTCGCCGAACCGGGCGCGAGGAGAGCTCGATCTCCCGCCTTGTCCTGGCGCAGGCCGTCCAGCACCCGCGCCAGTTGGTCCCCCACGCTCCGGGAGAAGAGGAACGACACCAGGCCGGACTTCAGGCCTGCGCAGGCCATAACAGGACCTCAAACTGGGCTTCTCTTTTTCCAGGAATCGAGGCCCCCCAAATGGAACTTCGGTTGCACTGGGCCTTGTCTTTTTCAAGGAATCGAGGCCCCCAAATGGAACTTCGGTTTTCCTGTTGGTGTTCTTTGAACCAACCACAAAAACGGTATATACAACAAAAGAAGGACACACCCAAAGCTTGGGACTCGCAATTGGGTGGTGTCCCTTGGCCGAAAAAACAGACGGCTCAAAAATGAGGCGTCCGGTTTGCTTCCTTTTGGACACTCCCTTGCAAATCAAGAGAAGGGACACCCGGGTTCTACGTTGGAATCTCCATGTTTCACGTTTGTCCCATGCAATCTTCTGGCTGCGCGATGTCCGGGCCATTTGAGCCTTGTGTTGATTTATCATTGTCAGCAGCAAGTTAAAATCGCAACTTGGAAACTGGATTGATTTAGAGGACAACAAAAGAACACCCACCATATTTTTGGGTTCCCCGATGTTTCCTTTTGTTGCTTCCGCGGCCCATCTTACTTTTGTTGGCCCTTGTGCTGTTTAGCGCATAAACCTTCCGCGAAGCTTCCAGAAGCACAATCCTCTTGCGAAACCTTGGCCAACCTGCTGCGTTTGCAGTACGCGCTTGTTGCAAGACTACTGTTCACCTGAGGTGTGGGGTGAACATGGGGTGAAGATGAGGCGAAGAGGTGAACCTGGGCATGGGGGGTCTTTTTGTGCCGTGCGGAATACCATTTTGGAGCAAAATCGTGAAAGGCTGGGTTTTCTCGTTCGTGGATCTTGCCAACCATCGTGTTGTACTCGGTTGAGGCAACGAGGCAACGCCTCCACAATGTGTGCCTTGGTCAAGGCACCCCTACACCTTGCTGCCAGAGTGTTCCACTTGCGGGAGTTGCAAACTAACGTTCTTGGGCCCTATGCTGCCACAGAACATGTTGCGTCTTATTTTTCCTCGCGGCCCAGATTGAGCGTGGTTGCGAGCAAAAGAAAAAGATCAGCTGCTGCAGCCGCGGATGGCAAGGGTTCCCGACAACTTCAACACAGGTGGGCAAGGTTGTACATCGAGACGGACCCTTGATGGGGAAACTCAACAATGATAAGGGCTCCTATTAAGGAAGCGTGGTCATGGCCCTCGCGATTGCACTTGGATGACGGAAGTCGAATCGGCTCGGTATGCCCATGCCGCTTTGCACGGCGGCAAGAACACCCAGGCCTGGAAGCAACAGAAGCGACTTTCATCCAAGAACTCAAAGGGCAATTTCATCCCCAGAGCCGCTGACGGCCCGATGTCGGACTTTGATTTTCCCGGCTCCCCGCACGAGCCGGATACCTTTTTGTTCCCCGGCCAAAGTTGGCTCACCCCAGTTTCACCGCCTCTTCACCTCATCTTCACCGCCTCTTCACCTCATCTTCACCCCATCTTCACCCTTCACCCACCGCCGATTAACTCAACTCCCTGTCGCCTTTGTCCACGTCCGGGGGGGTCTTGGCGTACTCGTGGCGGTCCCAGGGCAGCCCGAAGAACTTCGCCAGCTCCTCGGCGTCGCACCTGGCAGCTTGGAGTGACCGGGGTGGTCAGGGGGTGACTTGCTGTAGGGAATGTGGCCATGGGTCACAAGCCAAATCGGTTCGCCCGCAGTGAACATGAACCAATCCAACCACCAAAATAGGACACCTAAAATGGGTGGTGAATTCACCTACCCCCAAAATGGGATCCCAAAACGGTCTTGACGACCACTGCCATGTGGCAATTTCAACCTAGGGACTGCCCCTAGATGGTATATGTTTTTTTCGGGGGGCGGACTCCATGTCTCATTCCCTGGAGGCGGAAGGGGATTCTCTTAAAGGACACCCCCCAGGAAGGGACGGCGTTTTTTTCTTTTTTTCCGGAGGTCGGACTCCATTTCTCGGGGCCCCCGGTGTCCCCTCCTACAAGGACCAGGTTTTGGCTGCCTGGCCCATGTTCAGGACGCCTCCCCCGTGGAAAAGAGGGACGGGCCACTAGGAACGGGAATGAAACCGATCTAAACCAGGGCAGCCCATCTAGTTCGAACCAAACCAACCTAAACAGGACACCCATGCCTGTAAGGTTGCTTTTACTAGGGAAGTGGAGCTTTTCCTCCTCGACTCCATTACCCGCCAAGCCACGGAATACACGCCTTTATCCACGAACCTCCTTTTGGTCCTCCAGTGGAGAGGTTGAATAAGTTGGTACCCTTTGTTCTGTAGTCTATTTTAGTAGGGGAACCCTCCCCCCAAAAAAGAAGCGGTAAAAGGGCACCAATTGCTGGGGGACCTAGTCCTTTTGGTCCCTCTTTCAAGCTGGCCAGGGCCTGGTTCTCGGACATTGCCCAATGGCTCTCCAAAGTGGAACCCACTCCGCCGGAAGCCGATGCCCACAGACCCCAGAGTTTCCGGCTGGAAAAACACGAAGCAGCGGCTTTTTTGAAGAACATGCAGAAACGCATGGATAAAATCCCATGGGATACACCACTTGGTTTGAAGGAAAAAAAGAGGAAAGAAGAGACAAAGAACAACAGACCTTCAAATCCTTCCCCACCCTTCCCTTTTCCAAACGGCCCCCCCCCTTCCCCCCTAGTAGACCCGCCCCCCCCCTCGCCCCTCGCCCCTCGCCGCGCCTCTCCACTTTGGGGGCATCTCTACGCTCCTGGCAATCCTTCAGCTCCTGCTGCTCGAGCTCCCTGCGACGCCAAGAATCGCAGTCGCTGTCGGGCGGGCAGGCGGGCGGGCGGGCGAGCAGGCGGGGTGGAAACGGGTCTCTGCCTCAAGCCACTCCGCAGATCGAGAGTGAAACGCCCAAAAAAGACAGAGCTACCCTCCCTCAAAAAAGACATCTCCCAGGTCCCACAAGTGCCTTCATTGTTTCACAAGGACATCAGTTGCCATGTCAGTGGGCGGAAATGGAAGGAGCCCAAAAAACCAAACCATAGAGGTTCCCCTTCTCAAATTATCGTAGCAACAACTCAATGGGTCTGTGTGCCTTCTGGGGAACCTATTTGTTGGCTGGCTTAGGGAAACCAAAAGGAGAATCCGCCCATTTGCTGCGAAAAGGATCCCCCGATTTTGACACCCAGGTGCGGAAATGAGGAACCCTAAAATGGCTGGCCCATCGTGGCTCCCTTTGACTTTAAGCTGAAAAGCGTGCCGAGCCTCAAAAAAAACACACAAATATTGAAGTAGCTGGGAACGGGTGGGAACTTCATTGCGACCAACCCACTTCGCGTCACTCGCTCGCCTGAGGTTCTGCCTCAGCCACTGTGAGCAGGTCTCTGCCAGCTCCGCCGGGGACTGGCCCCAGACGTTGCGCTGCGCCACGTTCCGCACCACATAGTCCTCCCCGGCCTGGACGCTCCGGAAAAAAGCGAAGAGATCCCCCCCAGTCGCTTGCTCATGTTGACCACATATCTAGACCAACCAACTTGTTTCTTTTAATAGGGGGGTGGTTTTTGGCCCCTCCAAAAGTGGTCTGCTTCCATATTGATTAACCCCAGTTTATTAATAAAGGGGGTGGTTTTTGCCCCTCAAGAAATGCTGATTCCCCACTAAACCCGAAAACACCCCACTATGAATAAACTGGGGCTGATTGTCTGGGTGTTTGGGTACCTGTTTATATAGTTGTACTCCATTGGGAATATACGGTATGCACCCCTGAAAAGTTGTATAGTCCTCCAGTTGCTCCATTGGGAATATAGCGCATGCAACCCTGAAAATAACTATGAAATAGTCGTAGAGTCCCCTTTCGTTTGGAGGAACAAAGAAACGGAACGAAGTTGATGAATACACCCCGAAGAGAAAATCCGGATCACCTTTGGGGTTAAACACCCACTTGAAGGAAGCACGGAGACACGGATTAAGAAAATCGAAGCAGTTACGTCCAAAGACAACCGGATTCACCAGAACATCCTCCAAATCAGCCGACAAATGTCAAGCTGAGACGGGAAGATCCACCAGCCTCAAGAAAAAATAGGGTGCGTGGCAGTGTGGGATGTACTGGGAGGGGCCCGTGCGAAGAGGCCCTTTTTGGGGTAAAAGAACCACGGGGCCAAGCGTCAGCACGCCCAAAGCTTCGTGCATGCCAGGAACTCCGATGGCCTGAAAACCTGTGGATTCTCGGGGCTTGGGTCTGATGGGGTCGCGGTACAGCAAGGCTCACCTTGTGGGGGTTTAAGGGAAAGGACAAAGCGTCGGTCAAAGATCCCTCAACGTCAACATGGGAAGGGCCTGCGCTAGTTCTGTCCGCTAGCCTTGCGCGCGATCGCGCAACTCCAAAAGAAGGTTGCCCCACATTTGCACATTCCCACAAAATATGTTCACCAAAGGCAACTTGTTTCCAGTTCAATTGGGGTATGTGTCAAAACAGGCCCCCGCCCCGAAAGATCGTGGATTCTCCTCTTGGTTTCAATTCATCCCAGAAAGGGCACCGAACCTCCAAAAGCTGCACAGCCACTTGCTACAAGGCGTGTCGAAGATGGTGGGCGAAAACAGACTTTGCAGCTTGGAATCAATGGCGAAAGCAAGAGCGAAGCGTTCTGACAGGCTGCAGTCTGGTAGGGCAACTCTCTCAACACTGCTTCTCGGCTCGCAATCAACACATCTGCTCACATTTTGCTGAGCAGGCTCACGGGGGCCAGGATCTGATGTGCAAGCATGTGTACATGCAGTGCCGAGCGGGCTTGCTGTGACAGGTGCATCATCTTGTTGACACATGGTCCAAAGGCGCAAAATCAGGCATGCAATTGGACGACGGCCACCATGCCACGGTCCCAATACTTTGGAAATGCCACGCAAATACCAAGAACACCTTGTTCTACATTGACCAACATGCTCCAACCGGGCTGTGTCCAAAGACAAACCCAAGATGGTTGGCTTCCTCTTGCCCTTTCTTCAAGCACCATCCGAAAAGAGGCCCAAATTTTGTCGGGGCCGGACAAGACATGTCGCTCGCCCACCTCGGGCAAGGGCGCCAGAAGTCGCTGTATCAAGGCCTCATCGCCTGGAGAGAGTGGCAAGTGGCCATGGATCAAAACCTAAATCGGCTAGCCCCCAGTGAACATCTTTACCAATCCAACCACTAAAATAGGACACCTACAATGGACGGCGAATTCACCTAGCCCAAAATGGTACCATTGGTTGCGAAGCACGGCCAAGTGTTCCAAGGGGGAAACTCGCTCTTCTGTTTAACGCGAAACTGGGCTAAAACGCCGAAAGGTCAAATTTGAGGTCAGAAACCGCGTCAGGGCTGGAAAGTCACGACACATTGGAGCTGGGCCCCGAAAAAGAAGATCAAACATAGCAAGCTTCAGACCGGGGATCTATCTGAATCGGCCTGACGGTCTGCCTATAGGTTTGAAAGGAACCCTTTGTTGGCTCATGCAAAGAGCCAAATTTATGCTGGCAAGTTGCGATACTTCCCAACTGGAACTCTCAAAGTAACAAGCCAGGGACCTTACTGGTGAAATCGGGTCAAATCGCTTGTTTGGCCCTCAGATCGGTGAGCTCTCGTTGGGCATCTAGCACCGGATCAAACGTCATACTACCCTCTTTCCAACAACGGAAGTGGATGAGGGAGGGGAACCTGCTGGTTAGGTGTCCTCCGTTCCCATCTTTCCAAGGTGGCTGCTTCAAGTCTCAAGCCGATCCAAAATCCAGTCTGCGAACACCGTGTTTTGCTTGCAAAACATCTTGCATCCTTTCCAGGCAAACCGCCTTTTTCGGGTGATGGATCCCGTGATTTGTTGTTCTCGAAATGAGCATGGCCGTGCCACTTTCCAGCCTTTTGGAGCTTCTGCAATGGAGACCAAGAAGCCAACCCCATGAGGAACACCCTGTGGACTCGAGAACGGCTGGTTTGCAAGGATGGGCCAGTAAAGGGAAGCCAAACCCCCGACTTCGGGTCGTCGCAACAGAAACCGGAAAACCAAATCTTTGGATGCCAAACACTGCGAGCCCTTGGGGTTGCGAGTGCTCGCAGGCTGAAGAAAAGCTGAGCCCAGGGTGTCGCCATGTGCGAGATCTCCTTCGCTCGCAGCGGTCACCGACTTCTGAGTACAGTGGCGGGAAACAAAAAACAGAAACACGACTCGGTTTATCTGGGCGCGAATGAAAGAAGACTAACCCCTGGGCTCAACCCTCATTAAAAGAATGGCAAAGACCCAATTGGGATGATCATCCTCAATGGTACATGATGGTGGCTATATTAACCCAACCATTGTTTTCATGGTGCAACTTGTCACCATGAAAACCTACTCTGCCGAGCTCGTGCCAGCTTCACAGTGCTCGAATGAGCGACCTCGAACTTCGGGCGGTTTGTTTGGCTTTCTTAGAGCATGCATAAACCGATTGGCATGGGGTCAAAACCAATGGTACCATTTTGGGGTAGGTGCCCACCCATTTTAGAACCTATTTTAGTGGGGATTGGGATGTTCACTGGGGGTACGGGCTTTTGACCCATCGCCAATTGTTGCTCATGAAACGTGCGTCCAACCAACGAGAGTTGAAGAGTTGCATCCTGGGTAGGCTTTTTGAAAGGCCTCAAGGGTTTCCCCAGCGAGTTGACCAATCTGGCTGAAGGTCAGCACATGCACCCAGCGCTGGATTGACCCCCTGAAATCCATCATACCTGTCTGGGCGTGCCTTTACCGGAACGAACTCCTGCTTGATCGATTTTGAAACCAACCAACCATCTTGGGAGCTTTCAAAAAGTGACACCAACCAACCATCTTACGGGTTTCCAACGTGAAGCCAGCAAAACTCTACGGAGCCTTCCCCCAGAAATCCAAAAACCTTTCAGCGCGCTCCCGCCTAGGCGGCACGCGTAGTGCAGGGCCGTGTCACCGTTGCCGTCGGGCATGTGGGGGTCCGCCCCTTCCGTCAGCAGCTCTTGCGCCTCGCATGGAAGAAAAAAAATCGCAGGGGCGTCACTTCAAAAAACGGGTTGGGGAGGGTTCTCCTATGCGCGTTTCAAAGGCAAACCAAAAAAAGAAGAGGGCACCCTAGTTTGAGAAACTCCTTGCGAACACCAGGGGGCAGGGATGGCGATTCGACCCCTTGTATTACATAAAACGTAGGTTTATAACGATTGCTGAAACCTTTTTTTTGGTTTCAAGGTTCTTGTGAAGACATGGGAGGGCCTGTAAATGAGAGCACATCCATTCTCAGTCACTTGGAGCCATCGCCATGAGTAGACTTAAAACATCCGGCACTTTGGGATGCAACCACCTGAATACCTGATGAAACGCCTATAGGTTCTGTCCCACAGTAAGGGCCCTCCCCTGTTTTGATCCGGGCTGGTCACTAGGCTGCCCTTGCTGTGTCTCTGACGATTGCTAAGCTTCGGCGAAACTGGAAGTTGTTGGGTTTGACCGTGGGGGGGGGGGGTGAGGCCCAATGCCCCAGGTGCCTATCCCCGGAGGGAACTGGAACCCTGTGGTAGTTGAGGTCGTTGTTGGTCCCTGGATCTATTCCGGAGAGAGTCCAATATGCCAGTAATGGATGATTGGAGGATGGATTGTCCCATAATCCTGTCAGCGGCCTGCAATGGCTCTTTTGTCCTCACGCTCGAATGGTCGTGATTATGCAAAAGGGGCCTTGAGCCAAATGTTGCCGGAGATCAATGGTCTGAAAAACAGAACACAAAACAGACACAAATTTCTTTTGATCTCCAGCACAAAGTATGAAATACTATTGGCTTCATGGCCTTTGGCCGTAGCCTTAATGTGTGCCGTAGCCATGTGATTAAAAGTGCCGGATTCATCCTTTTTTCTGCTTGGATGAAATGTCTTGGCCCTCGAAATGGGAAACACTATGTACGCTTCTTTTTGGATACCTAATTGTATCAAAGGGTGATGTACAACGCTATGTACACGCGGAACAGTTGTGAAACTATTGATCTCTCACTCATGGTATAGTCTTGTAGACGAGGAGGCAATCATCCTGGTATCTCTCAGAGTTGCGTTTACTGGTTGCAGACTTGCTGCGGATGTAAACCATCAGAGGACTGTGGGAGTCGGAGTCCTGCGAGCCGTTCATGAACATTTCATTGTTCACGTGCTTGTAGCGCTCTGCGCCGGATGAGACCTGGTAATCGAAAATGGCCTTGTTTGGATGGTTCCGCATGAATTCCAGTTGTTCATCATCCATACCGTTCATCTCGATCTTCCGGAAATCCTGCTGGATGTTCGTTTTGCCCCATCCAAATACGATAGTCATCATCACATCTGGGAATGTTCGATCAAAACCTGATCCGCATTTCATGTGCAGGTGATGACGGACAATGGATTTCAGGGTGCACGAAGTCTCCACTGTATACTCCATTCTGTCCACGAGTTGCAAATTCTTCGTCGCGTTCCACAGTCTCTGATATGCTCTCATGAGGATGTTCACGAGACCGTTGGTTGGATTGTAGACATGCTGGAGTTTGATGTAGGTGTTCGCCGATTTGTTGGCGTCCCCGGTGATCGCATCGCATCGGTACAAGGTCACGAGCGGCATGATTTCATTTTGAAGATCTTCCTTTGCTGCTCCATGGCTAAGTGAAGGATGGATGTGGAAGACTCCAATGGTTGCGAATGGTAGATCTGCCCTCGTTATGTGGCGGTCGTCATACTCGTAGTATGACTTGTCGGATGATTTCGGGATCATGCCACGAAACTCATCACTCTGCTCGATGTGGAGAACGACGATCTCCTTGTCTCGGCCATGTCCTTGGACAATGGTGTGTGCTGGCAATCTCGATCCAATGTACTTCTTGGATTCGGTAAACATGGATGTTCCTGTGGTTGCCAAGCAATCCGAGGTCGGAATTTCGTATTCGGGATCAGTGCCATCTCCTTTGGTTCCGAAGAAACATCTGAACATTCCGAATGTGGTTCCCCAATTCTGGCTCCTGGTGGAAATGTGTCTTGCCAGAAGTTCCACTCGTGCAGAGGGTCCGCCGCGGACAAAGCATGTGATCGGTCTGGATGACCATTGCTTGATCACGATGCCCTTGTAACCGTATCGGATGAACGTCTTGATGAGCTCCGTGGATTTCTCATCATTCGGACTGAAGAATGCGTCTGCCTCATTCAGGCATAAGATGTGTGCACTGTTCTGCATCATCATCTTGACGATCGGTCGATCCTTCATCGGCATGTTGTACACCTCCCTGTTGTCCAACTTTGGATTCCTTGTGAGGTTTCCATGGTTCAGGGTAAGCATGTTGATCGCTATGGATGAGGTGAACTCATGCATGTTGAGATAGTCCACGGAAGGACGGTCAGTCGGCTGCATCAGCGATCCCAGGATATCGGCATAGGCTCGGATGATTTTCGGGTCATCTTGTGACCTGAGCTTCTTCAGTCCAAGCGGCAGCTTGATCGGATGCCTTCTTCAAGCATGTGAATTCCACCAAGCACAACAAGGAAAAAGATACTTCCTCAGAGACCAAGAAGAGACGGCATTCCACCGATCAGGACTCCACCGAAGGAGAAATGATGGAACCCTCCGGGGAAAGATCCGTCAAGCCGAAGGTCATCGTGGAATATCACAATTCAGAGAACCTAGAAGAGTTCATCCAAGAACTCAAGGGAATCTATCTCGAAATAGGTATGAACAAAAAGGACGCAGAGGAAGAGCTCGCGGGGATCAAAGAAGAACTCAAACGCTTCATGAACCAGTTCAACAAAGATTCGAAAGGAGCTCATCCCAATTTGACAGAGTGCGAGAGAGCCTCATTGGCACATGTCGATCCTGATGTCAATCTGAGTGAAGAAGAATTCTACTTCCCTCATCGAGGAGAATGTCCCACCATTGACGAGTACAAGCAAGCTCAACCAGGATCCGGACATCGGCGAATTCGCGGATCTTGGTGTCATACATCTCGAAGTCTTCATAATCGAGGTGCTTCTTCATGATCCACTTGTTGCTCGCCATGAGGCTGCCATCGGGTTCAAATGCTGCAACAATGTTTCTTGCCTCAACGGTTTTGTCTGTCAACGCTGTTCTCTCTTCAGAGAGGCGGATGCCATAGTCTTGGTCCTTGAGAAATGCAAGGATCAGCAGCGCATCTCTTCCTGCTGGCACATGGGTCAATGCGGTTTCTGACTCATCGTCTTCGAGGATGACGTCATCGATGCATGCCATGAGGACGCGCATTCTCCCCGAAGGGTTTGACTGGGACTTGCCAGATTTGAGCCCATGCTCCATGATGCTGTAGAGCTGATTTCCATAGGTTGCATGGAACATGAATGTGATGGGCTTCTTCGAGAACGGCTTGATCTTTCTCTCTTCTTCAACGGATGGTGGTGCCGGCCTTCGCATTCTGTACTTGGGCTGAGCTGTGCTTTCATCTCCATGAGGCGCCTCGGATCTTGACGGATGCGGACTTGGCGGAATGGATTCCGTTGGCAAATCATAGTCCGGTTCGTCGTAATGAGGCTCTTTCTGCTCAGAGAACAGGGGTCGTCCAAAGGATTGGATATCGACTTGTCGTGTGTGTCCGCTGTTGCATCTCACATAGAACTCCATCTCTGGATCAACATAGAAGTCCTTGCCGTCGGGCCTGAGTGCATTTTGTGCGGATCTGGTGTTGAGCTTGTCGATCCATCGATTCCTTGGAACAATTTCTCCCCGTGCCTTGCGCTCTTTATATGTCCCGTCCACGGATGGAAATACGAACGCAATTTCGAAACGTGATTTTCCATAGCTCGGGAACATAGCCATCAAGAGAAGTCCTGGCTTATTTCCAATGAAGTTCCTGGCATGTGTGATGCAGGTCAATGCATCGTAGAGCTCGACGGATCCATCAGGACCCATTTCCACCTGCCGTTTGCATTCCTTATGGATTCCATGCCTTGGATCATGTCGAAGACATCCGGAAAACGATCTGCTCATTCTCTCAATTCGCCAGAGGATGAGATCTGTGATCTGTTTCGCCTTGGATGGATCCATGCGGAAGTATTTGCAAACCTGTTCGACATTCTGGACGGTCTTATCGAGATCAATGTTGCCGTTGTGGCATACCATCGGGATGCTGTCGGTTCCGTAAACTTCGGATTGAGCATTGCTGTAGCAGCAGGTGCTGTAGACCTTCTTGATGAAGTCCATGTATTGCTTCTCTGCATGAGGTCCTTCACCTTGGAGTGTCGGATGCCAGTAATCGTTGAATCTTGCCTTCAACCAGAATACCTTAACTCCATGCGGTCTCTCGTGCTCAGGAACGAAGTGGAAATCCGGATTGACATCGTGGATGGTTGAGCATTCCTTGTAGTACTCGTGCACAAAACTCAGGAATTTTGAGTTTCCGAATGGTCCTGGGTGCACGGATTCCTTCTGGAGGCTGATGTTCGTATCCGATCCATATGTTACAAACCACCGATCGTTGGATGTGAGAACAGGCCGCATCACTGGTCGCCTTGGAAGCGCAGGTCGATCACCAGGATGATTGTCGGATTCCGTCTCGTCATCCAGGGTGTTCTTCGGTGCTGGCTTGACTTTGGAGACAAGCCTCAATGTCGGTGGCGGTGACTTTGGAACAAGTTTCGGATGTGGCATCGCCTTTGACAAAGGCCTTCCTTCGAGAGGATGCCCTTCTTCATCGGAATCATCATCATCGGAATCTCGATCATAATCAACCTGCTCCATGTTGACATTCTCGGGTTGTTGAGAGGCGGATGGATTCTCATCAGCGACTTGCTCCATGGGGCAATCGGATGTCTCATCTTCCTCATCACGAGCAGGGGATTCCTTCAATGGTGACGCCCGTCTCTTGATCATCGGCTTTGGCACAGGTGCCGCATCGCCGGATCGTCCAAACATCAGGTTGAGAATGGGCATGTCAACGAGATGATCGAGCATACAAGATTGCAAAGGTCGGATTGGTTGTAAACCGAAAGTGGCTGCGGAGGC